GCGGCGACGTCGCAATAGCTCGGTCTGCTCCGGTTGAGGTCCCCATTGCAAGTTCGTTTCCTTACACTTTTGTTTCCCATCGTTCCTCGTCTCAGCCCTTCACGATCTTCCACCATCTCTTTGCTCTCTCTCGACTCCTTGCTGGTGGCTACTATAGACTTGTTTTGCAAGGGATCGGTTATCAGTCTCATCGCTCTTTATCACATACATCCCGCCAAGAACAAACTCACCACACTTGTTGCTTTTCCGCTCGAAAACTCAAGCCCTCACTCAACCTTGTCTCGATCCAGAATCCACTCCACCGGAGCTCTGCCCTGTTCACTGATCTGGGCAGCTCGCCCATCCCGGCCTCCCTCTTCAGGACGTTAGTACTGCTGGGCCCCTGATCTTGTGACGGATCAACTGTCTTGGGGCCGCGAATAAGGATCGTCGCCCTTGTCCATCACCCAACGCTGCCTCCACAACTCGAGCACTTTCATCTGGAAAAAGACGCGACATGGCCCGTATGCAATAACCACCACCGCTCTTCCTCTCTTTTCACGACAGCATTGTTCCTGCTCGGTCGCCTTCCACGCCTCCGAGTGCTCGACATTGGAGCCGTGGCAAGCACTTTTCACCAATTATTCAATTCCCTCGAACTGGTTCTTCCTTCATTTCGCATAGCCAAACTCGTTCGATTGTTGACCTGGACGTCCATTGCCGGGATCGGGCCCATTCTCTCACTCTGTGCATAGCTCACAGCTGTTTTATGCCCTTCTTTCGTTCTGTATGCCCCTCACCAACCCCTCCATCTCGCTTCGAGGGCCGATCCGACTGACCAACGCAGTTTCTTGATACCCTCTTCATAACGCAACCATGGTGTCTTTTTTCGGGCTAAAACTCGGGGCCGATAAGAAGAAGTGCGTTCCCAGCCCTCTGTCGTGGATCTGCGAACTGACTTTGTGAAGGAAACCTGCTGAGAAGGCTGAGATGAAGCCTCAATGGAAGAAGATTGACCAAAACACTCTTGGTCAAGGGCAATTCTTCGGAAAAGATCTGGACCGTCCTATTCTCATCAACGGATCTCGTCCCGGCACAGCCATGTCGAACAAGAGCTTCGCCGCCAACTTTCGTCATCCGAATGCGCCGTACCTCAATGGCGGCTCCTCTTCCCTAGTCGATCTGGGTGCACCTGGCGTCAAGGGTATTCGACCTGTTGGGTCTGAGGCTAATTTGAACATGCGTTGGAACAATACTTCTGTGACCAGCTTGAATAATATCGCATCTCCACCGATCATTACCGGTGGCAATGGATCAGGAAGCAGACCAGGAACACCAAACTCGGCCCGGGCCAAGGCTTGGGTCAACCCTCTCGACGTTCACTTTGCTCGTGATGGTGCTGGCTCTCGGAGCGACGGAGCTCTTAGCCCAGCACCGAGTGCTGCACCAAGCGGGTACCACTCCCCGAACAATATATCGCCTCTTCCTACACCGACTGCAGCCAACGCACCTCGAAGCCCACTTGGGCAGTTCGAATTCAACCTGAACCCGTCAGAGTCGTCGAAAGATGACAAGCTAACTCCGGCTCCGTTGTCGCCCAACAAGGCCTTACCTTCGCCTCCTCAATCCATCAATGGTTCGCTCCCGCCATTGAGGACAGATCTCAGACCGAAGACAGCAGTCACTGCTGTTCGTGAAGCTCACAGGCCGCGGCCGGCCGCCCTTCCGTCCCCAACCGCGTCGACAGGACGTTCCAGCGACGAGGACCATTTCTATCCCAGGCCAATCATCCAGAATGTTGCCGCGAAGAGGGACACCCTCACTATCACCACACCAAGAAGGCAGAGCTTTTCCATGGATATCGACCATGATCCTACTGGACTCGACTTTGGTATGGCGGAACGAGGACGGACACTAGAGCGGGAAAGCCCGATTATTCCCATAAGTCCTGTTATACCAGTTAGCCCGCCGCCAAGAAGCGCCAGGCGACCGCGTCCGCCAGAAATGAAAATCCTGCCTCAACCTCCTAGGAGCGCAGGCTTGCCGCCCCCAAGACCGCAGCAGGTTCCATATGAAGGACCGCTGCGGAGCCCTGCCCGGCCTCTGGACGATTGGCCCCCTGCCAGACAGCGTCAGGATTCCGATGCTCGTGAAATGACCTCTCCGACCAGGGACGGGGAGCGCGTCCAGTACGATAGCCGTGAACGACAAGGTCCAGAACTCAGAGAGAGGAAAGACTCTGGTGGTCGATCTCGCGACGATCTTCCTTCCCCTCCACAGGGATACCTCGGACCCCCACCGACCTCGAGACGAGTTGCGCCAGGTGAGGGCGAGCGGAACTACGGAGTCACGCCTGCAAACCGTCGACAGCCTCCGCCGCCCGTCGAGCTTCAGCGCAAGGCGTCAAACCCGCAGCAATATCAGCCGCCCAGCTGGGATGATCGGGACGTCCACCACGGAAACTTCGCAATGGTGTCACCTCGCATGCAGTCGCCACAGCCGCCCACGCCGAACAGCTTGATTCCCGAGGCCTCGAACGACGCGAACTGGCCGTTGCCGAGCCCGTTGGCAAGCCCAACATTCGGAAGCCAGAGACCGCAGACGCCGAAAGAAAAGGCAGAGGCTCAACAGATGAGTCCACCGCCAGTGATTCCTCCGCCTCGTGAGCGAGGTGACGCGAGACGGCCAGACTTTGGCTTGAGAGCCCCGACTGGTATTGCAGATGAATTCCGAGTAGGATTCATCTAGACGTCTGTGAGGGTGTCAGCAACTTGTGCATTTCATCACGCCGCTGTAGTACATAGCACATACCTAGAGAGGATACATCTCGGGAATCTTGAGTTTGACGACGTAGGGCGGGGATATTGCTTGGATTCTTTCTTTTGTTGGATCATTTGGTGCTAGTTGGGGAAACAGAATGGCGAACGGAGCGAGGTTTGACGTTGGAGTTTGGTTCCTGAGGTAGTCATCAAATGATAATGTAATCATTCCAATTCAGGCCGGGACGGTGGTCGCTTCCATTTTGAAGTGCCATCTGAGGTACATTTAAATACCCGAAGTGATGTACCTGAGTTCATTGTTCTTCAACGGATCATAAAGTGGAAGCAACGGCCGGGCGACGGCCTACCTTACGGCATCTCGTCCCGGCGCAAGGGGCTCGGTGGCTCCTTCCTGTCCTCCACCTCCACGATTCACAAGGAGCATCGGGGTCAAAATTGAAACCAGAACAACGGCAAGCTTGTAATTCTAAGAATACTACCTCTTTATTTGTCTCATGCTAGTGTGCTCAACAGAACACATCGGAAGAGCCTTGTGAGACGCGAGCATTCGGCGTTGTTCTTTCCCGACTTGACTGAGGGGCTGCTTACCGTGGGGCCTTTGCCATTGGGAATCCACCTGGATTTTGTGATGAAGGTCTAAGTATAATCTGCGGGCCCAGATTTTTAACCGCGGCGGACATAGCTCAGTTGGGAGAGCGTCAGACTGAAGTTAACTTCAATCACTTAATCTGAAGGTCGTGTGTTCAATCCACACTGGCCGCATGGTTCTTTTGATTCTTTTTGCTTTTGATATCCGGATCGCTGCATTTGTGATGGCCGGCAGACAACTTGCAGGTTTTTAGTGGTCAAGTCCAGCATACGTTTTGTTTAGCTTGGTCTCTCTTGTTTGTTCTGATCATGAATTGACCGTTTTAGACTTCGTCCCCGTTTGGTCCGTGCTCTTTGCCGGCGACGTCGCGGGCTTTCCTCAAGGCGACACGGAACAGAGCAAGAAGAGAGCTTGTGCATAGCATCACTACCACCCCTGAAAGCTAACGTACAGATATAACACGCCGTCCGTCATTCTTCTGTTTCTAGCAGCGGCATTTTTGTGAAGTTGTACGCCAAGCCACTGAGAGAGCGCTCGTGAGCACAAACTCGTCATCCACGACCATTTCCTAACCAGCCCCGGCTTGCACGACATATTCCTTTCGCATCTTCATACAAGCCAAGTCCAAGATCTTCTGGACTCGCGACAAACCACAATAGGCGCCCCCGGGCAGCACCCACATTACGTGTAGATCGGGCTACGCAACACCTCTGGCTCAGCTGTCACAGCTCAGTCGAAACAGGGGAAAATGCGGGGGGCTAAGGAGCGAAGTAACGTCAGAGAACTGTGAGGCTCTCTCTCTCAAGTCAGGACCCCAAGAAACCGAAGAGCTCTTTCTCCATCTCCCGCCTCTTCTCAGGAGCCAGCGCATCCGTGATTCGACTCCTTGTTCCCGCCCGCCGCATCTCGAAGCCTGGGCGGCTCGGTAGACATGGGTTTCCCAAACAAGTCCCGCTGCACGTCCAACACCCGACCGGCGGGGGATGGGTCCCGTTGCGCCTCCTTTCTCCCCAGAAAAATAGCCATGAATTGAAGCTTATACACGCCTCAAAAAGGGGGTCTGACAAGGCTGGTCGAGTGAGGTGCGGTGACCCTGGATTGGTTCGTTCGAATGTTTGCCTTGTCACGAAGTATCTTTAAGGTATTCAAGGTTTTCCATCACACCCGACCAGGGTGACGAGGTAGGTGCCATTCAACAAGGGGCGGAAGAAGAAGAGGACCCCCATGCCCGTGTTTGAGATTTTCCGGACGACGGGCATGCCATCTAAACTTCCGATGTAGCGGAATGCTTGTCGTTGGTGTTGGCCAAGATCGGATGTCTGACGCCCAGCCGTCTGGTCTCCTGGACGTGAGCAATTGGCGCTCTTGCTTGGGCTGGTGAACTTCTTGTGGCCCATCTAACGGGACTGCTCTTGTGGGCGAGATGTGTGGGAAGTATAAGGATCGGGACCGTTCTTCGAGCTGAGCATGACTACTTCCTTTTCCTCTTCAGTCACTGTGTGATCCAAGTCGGTGCTCTCTTTCTTGTTTGTAACCTTCATTTCAGTGCTGTGCACTTTTTTCGATTCAGTCAATCCCATCTTTATTCAAGCTACCCGTAATCCTCCTCATTCTTTCCTAGTTATTTACAGGGAAGCGACACATACCTCACAATGCGTTACACAACCATCACTCTCCTTGTTATTGGTCTTCTCACAGGCAATGCCTTGACTGGTAAGTCACTCGCTCAGCCTCTCTCTATACATCTTCCTCTCAAGAAAGAGATTGCAAGACTAACATGAATTTCGTACAGCACCTGCTCCTCAGTTCGGCGGCGGCGGCTTCGGAAGTGGCCGTGGTGGTGGTGGTAGAGGTGCCGTAGGTGGTGCAGGCGGCGGCGGTGGTGGCCGAGGAGGCTTCGGCGGCGGTGGTGCCGGAGCCGCTGCTGGTGCTGGTGCTGGTGCTGCTGGTGCCGGTGCCGGTGGAGCTGGCCGTGGAGGCGGTGGCGGCGGCGGCAACAGAGGTCAGAATGCCGGCCAGAACGGAGGCGGCAACAACGGCGGCAACAACAATGCCAATGCCGGCAACGCGAACGCCGGCCAGAACAATGATAACAACAACCAGGACAACGCTGCTGCAGACGATGCCGCGGCTGATGCCAACAATGGCAACGCGAACAACAACAACCAGAACAACCAAAACAATGGCAACAACAACAACAACAACAATAACAACCAGGACAACGCAAATGACAATGCGAACGCCGACGACAACGCCGATCAAGCAGCAGACGCGGACGCGGCGGCCGACTTTGTTGGCCTCGCTTGCACCGATGGAACTGGTGCTGGCGCTTGCCAAGCAGACGGCCAGTGCGATGTTAATGGCGACGTCAAGGTTGTCGCAGGCCAGTGTGGCCAGGCCGCTGCCGATGCCTAAAAGCAGATCGCGGTGATATTGTTGTGTTTAGCCAGATGGTTAGTTAATGGAGGAGGTTTCTGTATATCGTATCATGCATGGCTCACACCTAGTGATTTTTGAAAGGTCCATTTATAGTGTTGAATATAGATGTGGATTCGAAAAAAGAAACAAAAAAGAGTTCACCACCCGTGTGGCTACATCTCTTGGTGCTCATGCTGGGACATTTCTAGTGCTCGTGCTGAGATTCGAACTCGGATACTCGTATGCGCTGAGCCTGTCGTCGAGTAGGTTGATTGGCGTATTGATTGATTGTTGACCATAAACCACTCCGCCATCCAGCCAGTTTGTCCTGACCCGTCGACCTAGACGAACGCGTTCTGGCTGGTGAGAGGAATGGAATTGAGGGGATCTATATGGAAGTTCCTGTGTATATTCAGGTGATGAAACCCGTTGGTATCCAGACATCACCGTGCCTCTCTTCGACCATTCACTAGACACTGCCAGTATTGTCATGGTAATCTCGTTGCGCTGCAGTCACGGGTGTCTTTAATGCACGCAATCCGGATACCTCTGAAACTGCTGAATCGAGAAGAGTGATATTACAAGACTTGCGTCCCTGCCGTCTAAGTGAGTTTTTAGTTTTACATAATGTACAATCTGAAAGCCTTTCTAGCTCAGATAAATCTTGATGGCCTCGTAGCAGCCAATATACAACCCACCCCCAAAACCCGCTGCCAAAACCGTCACCGTGGCACCCCTGAACAGCCCTCGAACGCCTTCTTTCAGGATAATCCCCCTGGCCACCGCAATCGGACCAATCTTTGCGCGAGAAGAACTACTCGACGTCTTTGGCGACCCGTTCTCGCCGGTCACCTCCCCGCCAGCCGCAAGTCTCATCCTCGTCTTGACAACATCAATAGGCACGAACAAGCTCGACGACGCGCTCCCAGCAGCAGCAGCGCACAGCCCGCTAGCGAGAACCTGCTGCGACGCACTCCTCTCCTGACTCTTGCCCTCCCCTCCGAGAAACCGTTCTTTGAGAGTCTCGTAGAGACAAAACGTCAACGTGGTATTGGGCAAATCACTCGCCACGAGCGCCGTATACCCAGCCCACAACTTGGTTGGCTGCTTCGCGAAACGCCTCAACGTGTCCATCGTCGGAGACGTAGCACTGCCGCTACCACTACCCCCCCTATACACCTGCGCATTCTGCTTCAAGACCTCGGCAGGGTTCGTAATGGCACAGCTAACAAGACTGGCCGCCGCGCCGCTCGCCCCGTACAAGACAGGCAACGGCACGCCCGCCAAACGGCCCTCCTCTTTGGCGCGCAGCGAGTAGCCCTTGAGCCCCTCGTAGATCGTGAAGAAGGCCGCCGACGACGGTATGCTGGTGATGATGGTGGGGCCGAACCCCTGGTACAGCCCGAGGAAGAGCGTCCGGCTGACGGCGCCGTTTACGGATTTGTACTGCGTTGTGTACATTGGCGATTGCATCCGCGTGATGAGCGTGTCCATGGGATGAATGAGGAAGTCTACACTCAACGTTGCTCCCGCTGCGGCCTGCAAATCTTTGTTAGTTAAGTTCTGCGAAGGAAGGCTTCTGAAGGTTCTCAGATTGGCTGATAGTGGGGTGAATTTACCGCGACGACCGCTTCCATCCCAATGGCAGTCGACATTCTGGCAGCCAAATGCTAGAGAGCAATGAAGGGCTTCTTGATTTACAAGAAGTTTTGATTTCGATGCATTTTGGTTTTCTTCTCCCCCTCCCTGATGAGCTCGTGGTTCCTGGGCACCGAGTTCCAGTAGCGCGCCTTGACGAAAACCGGAGGAGAGGTTTTTTTTGGTGCCTCAGTATCTACAAGGCAGCGGTGCCCGAGGATTCCGCGCCACTCGCCTTAGATTTAAGGTCTGCCCTGAGACAATCAGCGACAGAATCGATTCAGGACATTGATAATCGGCGAGACGGATAAGTAAAAAGAGGACACTCGGGACTGGGAATATTATAACTCTTTGTACATCCGCTGCCCGCGGAAACAACTCATCGTCTGGTCCGTTTACCCCAGTCGCGTATGCCTTTACCCGCTACTCACCGAGGACGGTATCATTCATTCGGCACAGTACTTAGTATGATGTCGTCCCAGACACCGCAATGCTCGCGACTGAGGGAACTAAATTGTTAGTGAATGAGGATAAGCCACCAGCAATTGGCAAGCCGAAGTTATTGGATGTGGTTAACCTCAGACTGCTCATCAACTTCGCCGATAGCTTCGATTGGGGGAACAGGATCTCTCTTGGACTGCCTGTAGCCCTAAATTATTGGAAAGGATCACTTCTTTGCCGGAATCCAGGGTCGAATTCTTGTACTCAGTTGTCTTTGCCTGCATTGTCCTTATGAGCGGCTGTGATGATCAAAGGCCTTTCAATCAAAGGAATATGGGTAGGTTGGTCAAACATTCATTACCTCTGGTAACTAAAGAATAGAAGTGGTTCAGTAACCATGACATTGTCTTAGATACACATCCATCAGTCTATATAATGCCGTTTTCCCTGCTCATTGGAAAACCACTCTGCCCCGCAAACCATCAAAACCAACCAAACCGACCAAACCGCAGCACAGCAACGTGAACAGGTACAGACCTTGTATTAAAACAAACCTAGCTAACCAAAAAACCATGTGTGGCACCAAACAAATTGTCGACCAGTGCAGAACCTGCTACGGCATCATCTCCAAAGAAGAGATTCCCACTCTATGCCACAAGAGAATATGGATGTTGCCCGAAACCTTCGGACACGCAAAGGCCTACTGTCCAGACCAAGGAAGGGTATATCTCGACAAGAAGCCAAGAATCAACCAGTGCCAGGTATGTTACTGGGAGTCATTGGATATCACAAAGGGGCTGGACATGCCCTGCCACCCGCGATCGGAGAGCAGTCTGGGGACTCGCTCGTTATCGCACGGTCTGGACCAGACCCGATCGACGAGCCCCTGGCAAAATGTGAGCGTCCTCAATCTACCTGCTGAGAAGAAACCGAAAGGCATAGCTAGTACGGTCAAGGGATTATTTGGTAAGTGTCTTTCCAAGGTTATTCCTGGGGTCGCTAGGTCCTCGAAGTCCTCCTCGTCTTGGTCGGCTCTCGACGAGTGGGAGGATATTTGTGGTGATGAGGAACCCAAGGACAAGAAGAAGAAAAAGAAGATGGCTGCGTCTATACCGACAGTCACGAGGGTGTAAGTGCTTTAGATGAATGAGAGGGATGGGCTGCCTCCTGTCCCGCATCTCTCTCGCACACAAGGTAGAATTCATTTTGCATATCTCTTCACATTGCTGACCGATGGGCCACGCTTTCCAGTTGCTTATTTGGCGGTAGCCCCTTCAAAAAATCGACCTGACTCTGATCTCTCTGAAGAAAGTTATCTCGTTTCCGCCTAAATAATACGCAGGCAAAAGCTTCTATAGATAGAATGCAGCGCGATTTTCTTCTTCTGCCTGAGAAGGTTTTGCAGGGACTCTGCGAAATTAATGTCTGGCATCAAGCTGGTATCTATCTATATGACTGTCCAGACGTTCATCCACACCGTTCATCTACGATGGAGACCTGTTCAGTGACCCAGAGGACTACCTGCATCAGTCCCGCATCGGCACCAACGAGATCAACACACCCAATCATCAACTGCCAAGGCCCTCAAAGGGTACGTTCATCCCATAAAGAAGTGAGGACAAATCAATCAAGTGACGGGCCCGGGTAGTCGCAGACACACCGCGAATCTGGGATGGGAAACCCGAACGCGAGTTGCGAACAGAGAGGTGGGGGGGGGGGGGGTTCAATTCTCCGTATTCGTATCGACTTGCAACCATCGTGTACTCGTCGTCCCAAAGCGCTGCCACCACTTGGCTCAATCGCACCTGTGGTCTGCAGCCAAAGTCCGTCCGTCACCCATGACCAGGATCGAGCATCGCTTAGGGAACTGCCTGTCTAGAGCAGACGATAAGACAATGAGAGTCCTCAGGCATACTCAGCTCAGGACGGGCGTTGGTGACCATGACCCACCTTGCGCTGAGCGTCGACTCTACCGAAAAGTCCCATCAGAAGCACACATGGCAATGAAGAATTCATTCTCATAGTAAGCCCAGCGACATATGCAGCAAGTCAGGGCCAGTGAACCGTGCCGCACGGGATGATCCAGGCCAGATACCCGGGCTGAACCATAAGGAGTGGGGTGGAAGCGAGCCGGGAAGCGGGGGGGATTCCCATGAAGATTTCGCGGGGAAGCTTCTATTGAAATACTGTTGGCCAACCGTAAACGAGAGAACATGACAAAAATTAAGTAATCATGTCCTAGGTAATCTTACGAACATTGCATTGTCCCAAAACCGAATACGATGGCACACCACAAAGTTCCAGGGGGTAAGAAGAGAAAGCGCCCTGGAGCGATCCACGGGCACGTCAACGGCGCCGAGGTCAGCGCCCAATCGAGACGTCTCTTTTCTACTTTCCCCCACCAAAGATCGCCCCGCAACAGCCCCTCCTTCCGTCTGACGATGCAGAGCTCTACATAAATGGCCCACGGCGGCGACCTTCAATGACGCACGTGGAGGAGCTCTCACTCATTAGAAATCAAGAGCCTGTTAGACATCCTCACTCACTCTCACTCTCACTCTCACTTACGACTCACTCACGACTCACGACTCAATCACGCAATCGGCCTCACCACTTTATCAATCTTATCTACGCTTAAGCTTAAAACTTTTCCAAAAGTTTGAACGGCATAACCAAACCTTCAAGGTCTCATCCCGCAATCTATCCGCACTCGGGCCAGGCCCCTCCTCTCTCACAACCAAACACAGACACCTGTCACATAATCACACACAACTCACACCCACAATGGCGACCCGCCTCCCCGGCACGACCGTAATCGTCACCGGCTCCGGCGGCGGCCTAGGCAAAGCCATCGCCGAAGCCTACCTCGTCGCCGGCGCCAACGTCGTAATCTCCGACATCAATGAGGACCGCGTCGCCGCCGTCACCTCGGAATACCGCGACACCTACGCCGGCAAGCTCCACGGCATCGTCGTCGACGTCACCTCGGAATCCTCCGTTGAGTCCCTCGTTAAGGGCACCGTAGAACGCTTCGGCCGTCTCGACGTCGTCGTCAACAACGCCGGCGTCATGGACAAGTTCGACCCCGCCGGCGACTGCACAAAAGAGACGTGGGACCGCGTCCTCGCCATCAACCTCACGGGACCCTTCCTGACGACCAAATACGCCGTCAACCAGTTCCTCGCTCAGGGCGGCGCCAGCGGCAGCGGCGGGCCCGCGGGCCTGATTGTCAATATCGGCTCCAACGCCAGCTACCGCGGCCTCGCGTCGGGCGTCGCTTACACGGCGTCCAAGCACGGCGTCATGGCCGTGACCAAGAACACGGCTGGCTTCTATGGCGACAAGGGCATCTACTCGGTCGCTCTGCTGCTCGGCGGCATGGACACTACCAACATCATGGACGCCTTCGCCGAGGGCGTCAACCAGGCCGGCATGGCCAAGGTCACAGCGGGTATGCCCGAGTACAAGCGCGGCGAGACGGGGCTGGACCCGGCTGCTGTGGCAAAGTACTGCGTCTTCTTGACGGATAAGGATATCGCGTCGTCGGCGAACGGGAGCTGTGTTGTTCTCAACAGGAACTGGCCGCACGCCTGAGTGTGGCTTCTCTTCATCGAGGTTTGGGAAGAAGGGGGATCGCGGATAGAAAAGAGTCACGAACGAATATTGCTCAAAACTTGGACTTGATGAGATGCAAGAGCAACTTGGAGTAACCTAGTTACAGGAAAGATACCTTATGAATGCTAGTTATGATTACCAAACACCATCATCCGTACCGGTGACAAATTAGCATGTCACCGAGACTGTTAGGGCTTCGACTCAAGTATTTGATCGAGCTGAAAAAGGCTGATGGCGCTGCCCGCTCAGGCAGGCTTCAATCACATTGGCGGCCATACGTGACGATCAGAAGAAGTCAGTTGGGAAGCGATCAATCATGGAAAAGAGGTAAAAAAGAACACGATTCGTAGAGACAAAAGATAGAAGATGCGGCCAGTGTGGATTGAACACACGACCTTCAGATTAAGTGATTGAAGTTAACTTCAGTCTGACGCTCTCCCAACTGAGCTATGTCCGCCACGATCTTCGAAGGGGTGGGGCCGGCTGAGAGCTTAGGTTGGCTCGCGCGGCGGGGCACGCTCATCGTCTGCGAGATTTCCATCTTCAGAGGCATCATTGTGGAATTCGCTGGCCCCTGAGGTATCGTGAGATTATGGAACCAACTCAAAAAATGGTCACGAATGCTTTTACCGGGGTGGTTCAACACAAAAGCTTTGAAAAGTGGCAGTTAGTGGCACCCAAGATTGAGGGGTACCACCCGTCTTTGCCGTCTAAGCTTCCATAGGCCATTTCCCCAGTCAACCTTATTCTGGACGGTATACCAGTTGATCTGATGATGGTGGCAGATGGCTAGAGATATGCTAAAGGCACAAACTTCATCTTTTGACCCACACCTACCTTATTTAATGCATTTGATATAACTATAACAAGCTTCTCTGAATACACAGCTCTCGGCGCCGCGTCCTAGCCTCCATTACACCTTTTTAGTTCTTCATCCGCTTGAGAGCTTCATCCAGTGGCAATTTCCTGAGATGATTTCCCCCAGAATTTTACTCAGTCATTACCGCAATGAGATAAAGAGAACTCCACGCTTGATGCCCATACCACCATCCCTGCTTCTAACCCGGGTGCCCACGATAGGAAGCCAACTCACCCATCCCCTGGCAAAAGCCCAACTCTTCTATCCCGCTCATCCCGAAGATGCTTATCCTCTCCCTCCAACAACATCTTCTCCTCCACAAACGCGGCGTCACCAGTCCGGAACTTTTCTCTCATCACCCCTTTCTCGGTCATTATGTCAGACCCGGATCCGGATCCGGACCCGGGCTCTAGAGGCTGTGATGGCAGCCGCCGTGGCGAAGACGACGTCTCCCGGGCAGACGAGACCGTCACCTCGGGCGGCCACAATATTCGCCTTGCCTCATCCTCGCTCAACACCTCGCGCTCATCCTCTGAGCTCTCATCAAACGCAGACACATCGCCCCCGCCGCCTCCCCCCGGCCCGGGCCCAGGCGACGAAGGAACCGCCAGGAATACATCCGTAACAGCCTTATCCGCGCTCCGCGTCCGAACCAGCCGACCTTCTAAATCATCATCGTCAGAGACAACATTTTGAACGGCCTCGGTCTCCGCCCTCATAGCATCCGCATCCCCCTTAGGCACCTTATTCTCCCCCGCCGCGACGACATCCATCGAAGTCAACTTCATCAACGTCCTCAACCTCGCGTCCCCGACGAACCTCCCCATCAAGACACCCTCATTCTCCCGAAACGTCTCATAAAACATCCGATTCACCATCGCCGCCGCACGCAGGTCCTCCACGCGATCCACGCACCTCTCCAAAACCAACAACCGTACCGCGTCAGATCGCTCGAGGACCTTGCCCTGTTCCTGGTCCTGCTTCTGTCCCCGTTCCTGTTCCAGCAGCTCCTGGATTTCCTGTTGCTCACGATGCAGATCAACCTTCTTCCCATCAGAAAAACTCCTCAACCCCCTATGCAAAACAGCCTGCGGCTGCGTAGACCGGTGCCTGGACAACCCCCACCCGTGAGCCCGTCCACTGACATCATGCAACGTCAACCCAGACACGCTGTTATAGATATCATTAATCGCCGCGCGGAACGCCGGCGCGGGATCGCATACCCCGCCCTTGTGAACCGCCAGCGGCGGACTCGCAATGGTCCGCAGCAAGTCAACGAGCTGCGCCAGACTCCGATGGGGTGGTGAGTATTGCTGCTGCTGGGGGCCACCTGTCAGGTGCCCGAGAACCGACTGATTCATGATGGTGGGCAGAAGCTCGAGCTCGCCGTAGACGAGCATCAGCCAACCCAGGTTCGTCGCGTCGCAGCTGTGGCTCCCCTTGGGACACCTGGGCGTGCTGGTGAACATCAAAGCCGGGTTGGCAGCTGTAATCGTCGTGGACGTGGACGCTACTTCAGCGGAAGACGAAGTCGAGCCCGGCGGCGGCCGGGCCGCACCACCACCACCGGCCCCCTCAACAGCACGACAAGGCGGCCTCAAATACTCCCGAATCGTACTTATGCAACACTCCTCAACCTGCGCCATCTTGGCCCCCCTCACCCCCCAAATCTTATCTTTAATCCTCTGCGGCCACGCCTCCATCCCCTCCAACTCGTCCTCGTCCACAAGATTCAGGATCGCCGTCTTGGACATACGCGTAAACAGCTGCCGGAACCCAAATGCGTAACTAATCAGCAGCCAACCCTGCGGCATCGCCTCGCTGCCCCGGTGGATCCACTGCGGCAGCCACCGGTGCTCGACAAACAGCTCCAGCGGCGACGTGCACCGGTACCGCAGGCACACCTCGGCGATGGCGACCAGCTGTTCGAAAGTCACCTCGCGGGGCACCTTGTCATTGTGCATGTGCGCCGCGTGCAGGAGGATCGTCAGCGCCTGCTCGCGGTCGCCTTCGCGTTGCGGCATGCGGTAGAGCTTCGCCTCGGTGCCGTCGGGGCATATATACGCCGTCGGTGGCGGCGCGAGCTGGTCCGTCAGGTCCTCGTCGTCGTGGACCTCAATGTGCGCGTGCTCGGTGAACATCCTCTCGAATATGGGCGACGTCTCGGCTAGCAAAAACGACGAGACGCGATACCGCAGCACGGGCAGTGCTTCCGCCTCGTCATCGGCTCCGATATTCGCAAACTCGAGAACGGCGTCCCCGCGCGGCGCGACATTAAGCTCCTTCACCGGCCTCTCGTCCGTGACGCCCGATTCTCCCAGCTGCAGAACCCGCGTGAGCTCGATGAGATCCTGCTTCACGCGGTCGTGGTTCCTGAAGCGTATGTCGTAGAGCGGGAAAAAGTCCGGGCTGGGCGAGAACGTCTTGACGATGCTCGCCCTCCTCATCTGCTGGATCGCGGCGGCGCGGAAGACTTTATCCTGGAAGAGCGACTTCGCCATGCTCGGCGTGGCGTCGGGCTCGTAGTTTCGATACGTCTCTGATAGCGAGAGCTCGAGCGCTTCCACCAGCGACTCGACGCAGCCCTTCCAGTCGCGGACGGCAGACAGGCAAATCTCACGCATCGGGCGTGGACCTGCGCTCTGGCCGGTCGTCACTTCCGAGAGACTCCTCCCGCTAAACGAAGACCGAGTCACTATCGACGCAGGGCTCTGCGGCACCTCAAGCGACGACTCCCGTGACGGTCCCCGGCCTCCATCCGCCCACGCCGCCGCCGCCCCGGTCGCCCGCCCGGGCGGCCCGGGCGAGGGTGTGGAGTTGCGCAACAGGGCCCGACACAGGGCTACATGATCCTTGACTTTGGCGTATTCTTTATAGGCAGCATCAGCGTCCTTGCTCCCGAGCGTCAAGCCGACGCGTTGCGTCAACTGCTGAATCTGGCGAAGTTGGACGTCCGAATCATTCACGGCGCCGCTGCCGCTGCGGCTGCCGTAGCCCCCGCTGGCGGAGCTGGACCCACGGGACGAAATAGGTCTCCCGTCAATCGGGTCCCCGCCGCCAAACTCAAAATCGCCAAGTCTCTGTTCTTGTGGTGTCAGCGGCGTCCGGCAGCTCGAGCGTCTCATCGCCATTGCAAAACGTCACAGAGGGGAGTGCAGTGCAATGAGCCGGTGGGTCAGTGGTCGAGGAAGAAGGAGAAGGAGGAGAAAGTAAACGTGCAGTACGGAGTAGTGTGGGAACATTTCCGGGGGTTTGTGGAAATTTCAAAAACTCACCGTAGTGCTAGACCGACTTCCATCGTCCTTTGCCGAGCTGATGCTCGATATCTTGCGCAGCGCATTGCTCAACCGCCTAATCTTGGGAGACGTGGTCGAGGCAACATCGCTCCGGCTGCGTTGGCGAACCATCACTGAACCCCAAGCTGCTGCGACCCAGATGTGATGCGATGCGGCAGCGGCAGCGGCAGCGGCAGGGGACCGGCAGTCCGAACCCAGGATGCGCGAAAACGCAGGGATCACTCATTTCCCAAACATCCAGCGATCTGAGGGGAATGATGGAATTAGAGAAACTCGCAGTCTAACGGTGATATACTGTCGCTCAGTGTACCATAGTATAGTATCCGTATACTTGGGAGACAGACACGGGACGGACTGCTTCCCGGTTCTCAGAAACAATAAGAAATGGCAGCGAAACGGGACGGTCTTCAGACTGCGTTTCATGGGGCCACAGGTGAATGGCTTCTGCCTGGGGGAGGAATAAGCAGCTGCATCCTTTGGGGGGAAAGGGAGACCTCAGGAGGGGGCAAAATACGAGGACGTTTTGGGGGCCAGCCGGCCGGCCAGGCCACGTTGGGAATTTTGCCTTTTGCGGCTTGCCAAGCAGGGACCGCGGTGGCATTGTCATTGCCCTGGACCAGGACTCTCTGGAGAGCACCGGCCACCTGAAATAAGGCTGACTGCGGGGTTCAAACCACTGCATCCCGATGACGTAATCTTGCGTCCCCTTCCGAGACCCTTATCCTGGGTTGCACAAGTTACAACACCTCAGATGGCGATGCCTTCGCAAGTGGCATCTGGACATGGGTTTCAGGAGAAGAATCAGACAAAGTTCATCACTTGGCATCATCCCTGAGACTGACTGACGGCCTGATCCTCACATCAAGGAGTATTCACTCGCACGAACTCTTGCAAAGTGCTATAAAATAATGGCCTTTTTTTTTTAAACGCTTCCCGTCTATCTGCTTACACTGACACTGATCATTGATGTCTTTTTTCCATTCCTTTGATGCGGTCATGCTGGCTTCCTCTGTCATCTCTCTTCAGAGACAGATGTCCAACCATTCCCCGCCGGGTATTTCATGACAATCGAAGCCGTCCTAAATACAGCCCTTGTTCCGTTATCATCCACACACCGTTCTTGCTTCCTCTCGATGTGCCCTATCCCCCATGGTATGACTTTGTTAACAAAAGGAAACTTGATGACGCATGCCTAACCGTGACCCATTTCGAAGACCGTTGCTGCAGATGCAATGAGACAAAAAATAAACCCTGCCGCCCGATATAACGCAACAGTGTTCCCCCTTTTGAAATACCTCGATAGGGTGGGAGACGATAAGAAAAAAGACGATTGAGGCATAGCAATGACCTCTCCAATTTCCATGCTTGAGCCAATACCGTCTCGCTGAACTGGCATTCCTCCTTGTGCAATTCATCCATGCATTGCTGTCCGCAGATCCTCATGCTCATTCGCTGATCTGGTGTTTGTTTGCATTTGCTAGTTGTGGCCACCATCGAATGGCACTTGACCGCTACAAGCCCACCTGGTGAACAGTGTTCGTCGCCGTACTAACTCGATTCCCGAGTTCCCGCTCACCACCTCAAGGCCGCGAGGGCATTGCAGCATTTTTGCTACAACCAATGCCCAAACTCATTGCTCTAATCCAGAAGCAGAGTGTCCAATACTTGTATATTGCCAAAGTTTGCAATAGGGTAGCCATCCACGTCTGCAGAGGACACTCGTCTCAACTGCGCCCTATCCAAGAAAGCACGGGTAGCTTTCTGTCGTGCAGTGATAACCGCAGTCGTGTGTAATCGCGACGGTTTCCAAATACCTTTAGCCGCCCTTTCGGTCTGCATCGTGCTTGGGTGGCTGCTCGCTAGAAGCAAATCCGCCGTAGTTCTTCGTGTCGGCACCCTTTTTGCGACCCTTTGTGGCCTTCTGCCATGAGCTCTCAGGGCCGTGGCTTTCACTTTTGGCACTGCGGGTGTGGCCATTCTCTCGAACGCCATTGACCCTAGGAGATTGGGCCTGAGCCTGGCCGGAGCTGTGTGACTGTGACTGAGTCTGAGCTGTCGCCTGGGATGAGCGCTGGTTGGCCGTCGAGGATCGCTTCGGCGAATGAGTAGATGCATGCCCTTGCTTGGGTTCCTTTCCGACCGATCCCTTGCTGTCGTTCGGTCTGTGCCCTGAACCAGAAGGCTCGGCGTGAACTTTGGGTGCTGAGCTTTGGGAAGCTGACGGAAGCTGGTCAGTTCTCGATGCAAAGTCATTCTTTCTCACAACTGTCGGTGAAGGAGATCTGGTCTCGTTGATTGGCGACAGGTGCTGTGCGTCAATGCTCAGCTGGTGACCATTCATCCTATTTTCTCGAGTTGCGAGATCGAGTGGCGCTATTACTCCACTTTGCTGTCTCGATAGCGCTCTCTGGCGAAGAGATGGCTGAGTGCCATTTGCGACATCTGCATGTGGCTGCGTTTGCACTTGAGCTTGCGGTGACCAAGCATACTGATTCATCGACATAAGAGCAATCCTGTCACGGAATGAAGCGTCGTCGATCGCCTGGGACGCAGACTGTTGAGGTGCAGAAACAGAAGCTGGTGAGGCCGAGGCAGTCGCATTGGTGGTCGACGATGGTGTAGTAGTACCGTTAACAATCACCGGAGTCCGCTCAGACACGGGAGTCTGAACTGGTTCAGACCTAGGAAGAGCTTGGCCATCCAACTGATCTGAGCCGCAGCCGCTGATGCCGAGACCTTGAACTTGCAGCGTGTGTTCCTGAGACGAACGGCCTTGGTCGTCAGCTGGGTTTGAATCTGTCGAAACCACGACAGGGTTATGACGTTGCGATGGCGTCGAACTCGTGCGAAGAGATGATCCAGTGCCGTTGACTATCAAAGGCCGCGAGGCTGCTCGAGGACCGTTTGTACTGCCAGACGCAACCACCGGAGCGGATGCCACCGAGCTACCTCCGCTAGAGAACGCCCGAGCATGGCCAAGGGGAGACGGTGAACGAGATGTTCTTCGCATTCTGCGGTCCAGAATAGTCTGCGGGACCTCGGTTGACAACCTGCGACGTCCCTGGGCTGGCTGAGTCGTGTCCGCAAAGGCTATGGCGTTGGGCGCTACTTGGGAGTGCGCCGGGCTGGAGGCATCTGAAACGTAGTAACCCAAATAAGCTCCTTCGTCAGAGGCAGGCGAATTACTCGCTGGGGCCTGGGAGGCTTCGTCGTACTCAGCGTCGCCTGGCACGCCGTTCAAGACCGGGATTCCATTCACTTGCCGAGTGGGATTTGAACTGGTATTGACTGGCGTGCTGGTTCCTGGATAAGCCTGGTTGTGCTGTGCTGTAGGAGCAGAGCGGGAGGCAGGCTGTGACTGCGACCTGAGTGAGCTTCCGGAAGTTGACGCGCCCGACTCTGTTGTTGCTGACGATCTCTGAAGGCCTCTTCGATATTCTGGCGTACTAGTCGCCACTGTCGCCGGCGAAGAGGAATAGGCGAAGCTTGACTGGCCGTAATACGCCGCCATGGGGACTCCGTACATGCTGTACCAATCTTGAGGGCCAGCGATGGGAGCACTCAGGGGCGGATTGTCGAAGGAGTTGGTCCTGGACCGTTCTGGACCCTGCTGTGTAGCTGAAGAGGAACCCTGCATCCTTTGAGCAGCGTGCATTTGGGCGGCCATCTGAGCCTGGACTTGCTGATAAACCTGGGATTGAGTATAGAGCTGGAACCGAATGTTATTTTCTTGCTGAACCTGGGCGGCCATGGCTGCACCTACAAGCGCGGGATATTGCTGGTGGGACTGTGCCTGCTGCGCGTACCACGCAAGATCCTGGGGAGTCATAGCCACTTGTGGCATGTACATGGTGTTGGTATCGTAAGCGACGCTTGACGAAGCTCTCCTATTCGAGTTCGCATTCCGCTGGAAGTTGTTCGAGTGTCGGCCTCCACGGAAATTTCCACGGCCTCTGCCGGAGTGCTGCTGAGAAGAACTACGGATCATGACAGGCCTCGAAGTATTTGGAGGGCGCTGGAACACCGGGATCTCTTCCTTGGGGTAGACATATTGTTCGCAGCACTCGCCCAGTTTTCCTTCTGAGATGAGGTCAAATGCTCGTCGCAACTCCAGATGAAGTCCACGGAATGAGTACTCATCCGCAGTGTTACCCAGGTTGCGAGCGGTGTTGAATGGCTCCTCCACGCACAAATGGTTATTTATGCCAATGTGCCATCCCTTTTCCAGTCGCGTTGCCTTCCGTCCAAGACGAATCGATATAACGTACTTGTCGTAATCGAACTCGTGTGCGTAGAAGCGGAAGAACTGGAACAAGAGCTCACCCAAAGACGCCTCGTTCTTTGCGCCGTATCCACTCAGCTTTTCCAAGTCATCAGCGAATGCGCTCTCGGGCCCGCCATTCTTAGGGAGCCGCTGATGCTGTCGCTGGTGAAGGGAGGGAAGCACTGGCGGGTCGCGAAGTTGGAGAAATCCGATGATGAGGCAGATCCACGTGTAAGAACTGAGGGTACCACCAAATGCTGTTCCGATCAGTAAAGTGTACAAAGAGTCATGAGGTACGGCAACCCATACCGGCATCGTTGACGATCCTCTGCCGTGTCCAGTACTTGATAACCATGGCCAAGGGCCGCACTCGAGGATCGATCTCTACGTATGTTCGGACCATTCTCGTGTTCTCCAACGCCAAAGTATTGTTCACATTCATGTCGCAAGCGAGGCCGAGCTCGGGGTCCCACATCTTAACGATGGGAACTTTGGCGCCTGAGATGCAGACCACTTTTTCCATGCCCTCTGTCGTGGTTTATGTCAGCAGTGTTACTGTTGATTTCTGTCCAGAGAAATGGTTCACGTACTCTTCGCAAGCAATGCTGCAATCATGCAGACGTACTCCAAGTCCTTCCAAGGTGTTGTAATGCAGATATCAACTATTGAGACAATTAGCACTGCATCCCCAAGCACCGTTCGGGTATTATGAGAGCCGACGAACCATCCGCGTCGTCCGAGCAAAGCAAGTTGCCCGAGGAGCCGAAGAGGTGCACGCGAATGTCATTTCCAGGCCATTCCTCGTTGAACATCTTCTCCAGCTTGACGACAAGCTTTTGACGGTTTT